TTGCCTACCCCTGTGCTAGATGGATGGACTCTATTAAGGAAGTCACGGATATTAAGGGATTTCAGGAATTAAGCAGAACAGTGGAGGACAGAGGGTCTTGGAGATGTCTCGTCCATAGGGCCGCCATGGGTCATCAACTCAAGGACAGTTAACAAGAAGAAGAAAGTGGGGCAGCTGACAAATTCCCTCTAAAATGGAAGACAGAGGGTCTTGGACAGGGGTAAGCATCCTTTCCCCTTTAAGGGCCGAGGGACTTCAGCTCCCAGAATCCCAGGAGCTATTGGCCAACATGGGACTATTGGCCAACATGGCTGAGGCTTCTGGGAGTTGAAGTCCCTCGGCCCTTAAAGGGGAAAGGTTGCCTACCCCTGGCCTTGGACATGTCCTATCCATACGGTCGCCATGGGTCGAGGTCGACGCGAAGGCCGTGAACAATAACGACCACCATGAATTTCACCGGGTTTTTAAAGCAAGGAGTGCCCTTTCCTTCCTTGAAGGGCAACGAGCTCAGCGCCGTCCTGTAGAGAGAGCCTGAGGGACGCCTCCATTCTGTCGGGAAAGAGCAGCCCCTTCCTTCCCTCTCCTCGGTTTCCTCAACACAACACGTCGCTAACTGTTTGCGCAGGCGCGTCCTGGGCGTTTGTGGGAGTTGCAGTCCTTGCAGGCGAGACTCCTCCTCTTTGGGCGACGGGGGAGGAGGACGGCGTGGGACTACCGTTCCCGGCATGCATCGGGAGATCTGCCCCCTCCCTCTTTTGGGCGGGGCGCGAGTGAAAAGAAAGCGTTCAAAACAAGGAAGTGCGGAGCGAAGAGACCTGCTGAGGGGAAGGTGTCGCCGCCGCCGCCGCCGTTGCTGGGGCAACGTGGCCTGAGGAGAGCGGGACCCTCTGCGGAGCCCCCTCCTCTTCCTCCTCCATGGATGACAGCAAAGTAAGGGAAGCGACGGTTGCTGTGGGCGGGGGTCTCCCGACAAGCCTTTGCGTCGGGGCCGAGCGGTCGGCTCTTTGTCGTTTCGCAGGTTGAATTGGTTAATTAACTGAAAAACGGCTAGCTGTAAACGGGGTTCAGGTATGGACACACTCTCTCAGCCTCAGGGGAAGAACAATAGCAAAAAATCCCTCTGAACAAGCGCCATGAAACCCACTGGGAGACCTTGAGCAAGTTACTCTCTCTCAGCCTCAGGGGAAGAACAATAGCAAAAATCCCTCTGAACAAACGCCATGAAACCCACTGGGAGACCTTGAGCAAGTTACACTCTCTCAGCCTCAGGGGAAGAACAATAGCAAAAAACTCCTCTGAACAGATGCCATGAAACTCACTGGGAGACCTTGAGCAAGACACACACTCTCAGCCTCAAAGGATGGCAATGGCAAACCTCTGAACATGCACCATGAAACCCACTGGGAGACCTTGAGCAAGACACACTCTCTCAGCCTCAGTGGAAGGCAATAGCAAAAAAAAAAAACCCAAAACCCTCTGAACAAATGCCATGAAACCCACTGGGAAACTCTGGGCAAGACACACTCTCTCAACCTTCAGATGGAAATGGCAAACTTCCTCTGAAGAAATCGTTCCAGGAAAACCCTATAATAGGGTCGCCATAAGTCAGAAACAACCTGAAGGTATTTACATTGGCTGACACCTTTTAGTTAGAACTAGAGTAGATTCTGTTTGGAGCTTGAAGCAGCTTTATTATTTATTGGTAATGCTCTGATGGCAGGCCAATACCAATAGAGCTGCTTCAAGCTACAGAGACAGAATCTACTCTGGAACAACTACTAAGAACATCAAGGAAGAGAGTGCAAATAAAACAAAAATGAGAATCTAAAGAAATTCAACCAAGACAATGAAGAAATAGAAATAGTAAAATAATTCTCATACCCTGGATCAAACATTGATAGAAATGGGGACTGCAGCCAGGAAATCAGAAGAAGACTAAGAATAGGGAGGGTGGCTATGAAAGAATTAGAAAAGATTCTAAAATGCAAAGATATACAACTCAGAACAAAAGTTAGAATCATACAAGCCATTGTATTCCCTATTACCATGTATGGATGTGAGAGTTGGACAGTTGTTTTTTTTATAAAATGTTTTATTTTTTAAAAAGAGACATAAAAAATCCACTTAAAATATATTCTTAGTCATTTTTACAGTACGTTTGCCCATAATTCAAACTTCTCGATAGTTCTTTGAAAGTAAGTACATTTTTTTCCACATTTTGCATATATCATTTCTGTATCTATTACTTCTATCATCATCTCAAATCCAGTTAATTTACACAATTTTAATAACTACTTTGCAGCTTTATTCCCATTTTCTATTTATATATTCTTCCACTGGAGTCCACTCTTCATCAACCAATTCCACATTCTCATTATTCAATAACCTTGTCAATTTATCCATTTCCTTCATCTCTGACAGTTTCAATAACCATGGTTATTGAGTTGGACAGTTTTAGATGTAAGCCGCCTTGATTGCTACGGCAAAAGGCGGGATATAAATAAAAAGTATTATTATTATTGTTATTATTAGTTTAGAAAGATGATAGGAAGAAAATCAACGCCTTTGAGATAATGTGGTGCTGGAGAAGAGTGCTGAGGATCCCATGGACAGCCAAAAGGACAAACAAATGGGTCATGGAGCAGATCAAGCCAGAAACCTCCTTGGAAGTCAAGATGATTACATTGAGGCTGTCATACTTTGGACACATCATGTCGGCTCATTGGAAAAAACAATAATACTAGGAAAGGTTGAGGGAAGCAGAAAGAGGAAGGTTGCATGCTAGGTGGATGGACTTTATTAAGCAGGTCACAAGTATGAATTTGCCAGAACTGAGCAGTGCAGTGGAGGAGTCTTGGAGATGGGTCGAGATCTATTTAAGAGTGGCTAATAATAACCACAGCCGTAGACCAAATATAGATCAGAAAAGAGACTGCAGTCAAGAAATCAGAAGCAGACTTGGGATGGGAAGGGCAGCAATGAAAGAACCAGGCAGGATCCCAAAGAGTAAAGATACACAACTGAGCACTAAAGTTAGAATCAACCAATCCATTATATTCCCTATCACCATGTATGGATGCAAGAGCTGGCCACTGAAGAAAGTGGATAAGAACAAAATCAACTCGTTTGAGATGTAGTGCTGGAGAAGAGTGCTAAGGATGCCGTGGACAGCCAGAAAAATAAATGGTGCTTTAGTTGGTCAAACAGGAGTATCAAAATAATAACAAATCTAGTAAAAGTGATCAGAAACCACAGCTAGTTGGATAGATCAACATCTTAATACTGCCTACAGCAGCCAGCGTACATGTCCAAGAAGCTGTCAGAATAAAAACATGGTAGATGCCTCCATGGTAATACTGTATGTTTTTTGGAATCCCAATAATTCACAAAAAGAGAGAAAGGAGTACACTTGAAGAAAATGCAGTGAGGATGTTTTTAGGGAAGGTTCCTTGGTGATATCATAGGAAGCCAGCCACACAATACTGTTCACAATGATTTTGTGCTTCAGTCTTTCATGTTTATTTAATTATTAAGCATGGGATAAGAATAAGTACTTCCAGACTAATACTGAAGTACAAGAGTATTTCAGAGAAGTCCCACTGCTCTAATAATGTACATTTCTATCTTTATTGACTCTGTACTGAGATGAGTCAGAGTAAAGATAAAAACGAAATGAACGAGAGCCAGCATGGTGTGGTTTGAGCACTAGACTACAACCAGGGGTAGGCAACCTTTCCCCTTTAAGGGCTGAGGGACTTCAG